TCCACATTAAATACAATAAAATGACAAATTATGTATTCAATTGATGAATTTGTTAACAAAACAAAGGGAAAATCAAAAGGATGTTGGTCCCAGTTTATGCAGACTAACACACAGCTAGATGGTATTCATCGATAAACAGAGAAGAACGATTACCCAAAATGATGTACGCAATGTCGAGAACTTGGAAATCGCCTTTCTATTATATCGAGAAGTATTTTTGACAGCGTAAGGCTAATGTGTATTAATCGATATCGGTACCTGTACACAAGGCGCATATTTATAGGCGCTGTACAGGTTACCGATTTAGGTAAACCTTGGAAGTTGGGCCAAGGCCTTTTTGGGCCTTATTCCCTTTACCTTATTTGCTACATAATAAATACTAATCTAATACCATAAATGGTATAACTAGTCTACTTTATTTAAACAAGACATTACAGACAAACTTGACCCACAATAAAAGTTCTAACAATCTCCCCCTTTGTGATCAAGTGCCGTCTTGCTGGGTTTCTTCACTTCTGAGCTTTGAAATAATTCTTTCTGAGATTTAGCGCGTGCTCATAGCTCCTGAGTGAATTTCTTCTGTCAAGTTGCTTTTCAATGGCCTGTAGAATATTGTTAATTCTGTGCAGTTCCTTCTGGTCTCCTTCAGTGGCTTCAGTCGATTTCTGTCCAAGTTCTTGTTTCTTTGATCGGAGCTGCTCCTGGATGATCTTCAATGTTCCGTCACAATACTTGTTAATTTCATCCACGAACATTAGACGTTTTTCGTTGTTATGATTCAGATAGATGACTGATACTGGATTGTCAAAGATATGATATGCTTCAAAGGATTCAAGGCCAGGTCTACTCAAGTCCGGTCTAGTAAGATTCACCTTTGAATAGTTGTGCTCTATGGTCATCTGGAGGTCATGAGAGGCGTAGATCCGAACTTGTCTTGTCATGAATCTTTTTATCGCCTCGAAGCCTTCTTTAGCGAGTCTGTCTTTGTGAACTGGAAGCTCCCTGCACCTCATGAACATTTGATAAATGTCATCCATGTGCAGTAGAAAGAAGTCATTCTCTTGACAGGTGAACTCCGAGCCATCAGTACGTTGTAGACGAAAAATCATGAACTTAATTGTCTTCGGGTAATCTTCTGTGATCTCCAAGATTTTCAATATGGGACATCCACTTGTTGCAAGGTTGTGATTTAGAACTTGTCGACGTTGCCCTGTGGATCTATGTCCTAGCATATACAGATTTCCTCCTCTATATTTTCCTTTCAAGTGATTGATTCCTCGCATTTTTAATTCACTGAACTGCTTGACTTTTTCTGGGTGTCTCCAAATCTTCTCTCAAATTCTTCAAGAAAGGGGGCTTTGATCCTTATGATTTCCATATTAGATTTGACAACTTTGATCTTTCTCATCTCATTGATCAGTTGTACGAATCTGTTATACGTCTCATGGAGCGCCTCACCAGGCAGGGCTTTAAAAGCATCATAGGCGGTCAAGATGTTCGCTTTCTTTGTCTTCAAACCAAGATCAGTTCCAATCATTAACTTCTTCACCTCATCCCACATTTCCTTTGCTGTCTCCATGCTGTCTATCAGAATGTAAATATCATTGGGGATAGCTTGCAACAGATATGTTTTTGCCATGAGATCAGCTTTGATTCTCAACTTGTCAGCTTCAGTGTATTTGCCTTTTGTCTTCAGTCTTTTCACAAAGTTGACAAGGGGGTTGTTTACATCTGAGGTATCTACTTCTGTATAGATCTCAGCAGGACCTTGTGTGAGCGATTCAAGCATGGCAGATGAATTATCTTTTCCTTCCAGAAAGTTCAAGAATCTTGTCTTCCACATCTGATATTCTCCTTCTCTGAGGATGGGTGGTCTGTTGTCATTTCCAAGTGCTAATGCTTCCATCTTTGCTGATTGAGCCTTAACAGATCGGTCGAGTGTTTTGATCAGAGAGAAAAAAAATTTAAGATGCAGAATGTCGAAAACCTAATTCAAGAAAAAAATTCGAAAACTAGGGTTCGAGAAGTTCTATCGAGAACCAGTTTTCGATAGTGAATATCGAGAACCTGTTTATCGAGAAGCTGTATCGAGAACTTCAGTATCGAGAAGCTAAGTTCGAGAACTTAGTTTCGAGAACTGAGTGTCGAGAAGCTGTATCGAGAACCTGCAATTCGAAAAACAGAGTTTTAAATATTTAGTATAAAAAACCGAGTATCGAGAAAGAAATCTCGAGAACTCAGTTCGAGAACTCTTATCGAGAACGTAGTATCGAAATCCTGCAAATCAAAAGTTCAGTTTTAGACAGTTTAAACTACTTTTCTGTGAAGTTTTCGATCTTGAGAGTCTTCCTGTATAGTTTTCGTCCTGAAAAACCTGCTTAAATGTAGAGAACCCTGCTTTTCGAACTCATACTATCGAGAAATCAAAAATACCGAATCTACTGAAATCGAAAAGTAAGATATACCCTTGGTTCGTTTCTGAATGGTGAACCCAATGGTATAACTTTTACAGTTTATCGATCAGAAACAAGATTACAGTGATTACAAAGAGATATATCGAAAAGTATGAAAAACAGAAAAACTTCGAAAACTTTTCTTCGACGATCACACTCGAGCAGGCTCTGATACCAGTTGTTGGTCCCAGTTTATGCAGACTAACACACAGCTAGATGGTATTCATCGATAAACAGAGAAGAACGATTACCCAGAATGATTTACGCAATGTCGAGAACTTGGAAATCGCCTTTCTATTATATCGAGAAGTATTTTTGACAGCGTAAGGCTAATGTGTATTAATCGATATCGGTACCTGTACACAAGGCGCATATTTATAGGCGCTGTACAGGTTACCGATTTAGGTAAACCTTGGAAGTTGGGCCAAGGCCTTTTTGGGCCTTATTCCCTTTACCTTATTTGCTACATAATAAATACTAATCTAATACCATAAATGGTATAACTAGTCTACTTTATTTAAACAAGACATTACAGACAAACTTGATCCACAATAAAAGTTCCAACAAAGGAGTTTGCTTACAAAAGACAGGCAGATAATTGGGAATGGTTGGCAATAAGCTAGAGCTCGATCAACTGAAAATTCGGTTGGGTTTTGATTTAGGGAAAATCCGGGTGTATTAGAGCATCTCCAATTATTAAATGGAAAATTGTTTAGTTTCCCATTTAATAATTTGAGTTTGAAAAATTTTGCCTTTATAAAATATTTAATAATCAACGTAATGCATTGCAGAGCATTTTGGTGTATTAGAGCATCTCCAATGCTCATATTGCATTGCTGCTTATGAGACAAAAAATAGAGAAGGTCTAGATCTAATATCAATAGAAGGCTTATGAGACAAAAACACAGAGAAGGTCAATTTGTAGAAGGGGAACAATAAAAAAGTAAATGAAAAATTGATGCAAGAAGAAAGAAAAGTCTTTATAGTACACCATAATGAGTTTTTTTGCTTAGTGGAATTGTCAGGGGTTTTGTTTGTAGACCTTGTGTTGACCTCTTCCTTTTCCAACTTAGATTTTGGAAGTCCATTTACATTGGAATGAATCTAAACTCCCAAGAGCATCTCCAATGCGGGTCCATTGAAAGTCCATTTACATTGGCACGAGAGAGTAGATTTTATTCCGTATAATACAAGGTGCAATTGATGACATGGAACTCAAATGAACCCCGCATTGGAGATGCTTTTGAGAATTTAGATTCATCCTTCACGACTAAACATTCCATACATGTACTGTCATGTGCCACAATTTTTTCAAAGTTAGAGATGAAGAATCAGGATATTTTCACCAACTTCTCAGAAACTGATCCCCCAACTTCTAAAAAATGTTTCTATGAGCAATTTGGAGCACCCAGAAGCACTTCTATATTTTCACCAAAACACTACAATAGAAAAGGTAATGAAGGATAGTATATAATCTCTAGAATAACAGGAGCTTTCAGAAGTAGATCCAAACATCCCTTTTGAAAAGGTAATGAAGGATATTATATAATCTCTCTCCCCCCTCTTTGCCACATCCCAACTTATGTTTCTCAGAGCCCGTTTGGTAATGCCAAAATCAATTAAATCGGCTGATTTTGCTGAAATTTATGAAATTATAGTTGAAGTGTCTGCATTGAGTGATTATGTTTTTTTAGCTGATTCTGCTTATTTATTGAAAATTATATTCAAAATATATTTTATTAATAAAAAAAAGTTATACTCCCTCCGTTCCCTATTAGATGTCCCTATAGGGTTTGACACAAGTTTTAAGAAGAAAATAATAGGGTTATTGTAAAAGGTGTAGTGAGTTGTGTTTAAATGAAATAGTAGGAAAAATAATGAAAAAGTAGGAAAGAAAAGGGAAAATGGAATCTAATAATCCAACCTTTTAGCGGTCTTCTTTCAATAATCTCACCTTTTGATTATTCATGAATAATCCAACTTTTGCACCCCATCTTCATTTGTTGGTCCCTGATCGGTTAATGACTTGCTATTCCAAGTAATTTTTTTATCTTTGCAAAATATTATCTTTGTGAAAGATGAGATTTATGGTATAATGATTTGCAAAGATAAGAAAATATCTTGGAATAACAGGTCATCAACCGGTCAGGGACCAATGAATGAAGATGAGGTGCAAAGGTTGGATTATTCATGAATAATAAAAAAGTGGGATTATTGAAAGAAGACTGCTAAAAGGTTGTATTATTAGTTTCCATTTTCCCAAAAGAAAATGAATATATATGTATATTTATTAATAAAAATTTCTAAAAATGGAAGGTGAGACAAGAGAAAGGGACAGGTAATATAGATAGCCAAAAAAGTAACCCTTGCCATTACTGTCCCAGACCAGACCAGACTAGTCCAGATCAGACCAGACCAGTTCAGACCAGACCAGACCAGACTTGGATAGTTATAAAAATACAAAGAAACCAGACCTTACCAGACCAGTTCAGACCAGACCAACGAGCAAATTAAAGTCCAAAGTAAAAACATCCTTATTTTTACGGTCTTCCCTGCACGCTGCAGCAGAGATAGCAAACGGGCTCTCAAGCTTCCCTGCAGGCCCTTCAGACAGTGAGACATACGGCCCTGACTTCAACCTATCATCCCCTTTTCCGATCACTGTCGCTCAGAACAGTAATGCCAACTTACGTTTGACATTCCCGGACACACAAAGTCGCAGTTTTTGCAGGTATACATGAGCCAAAGTCGGCAATGGAGGACAGCAGGGGCTGATTAGGGACGGCGAAGCCTTTTAAAAGGAGCAAATGAGCAATGAAAGTGAACTGGTGGCGGAGGGGCTGTGGGGGTTGTCAGATTATCACGAGAAGAAAGGCGATATCGGGAAGGCAATAAAATGCTTAGAGGCCATGTGTCAGAGTGGCATCTCCTTCCTCCCAATCGTCCAAATCAAGACTCGTATACGCGTGGCCACGCTACTCCTTAAGTATTCCAACAACATTAACCACGCTAAAGCTCACCTCGAGCGTGCCGTAAGTACTTTTCAGCTTACTGCAGTTCCCATTTGATTCCCTCGTACTATTGATCGTTTTCTTCCAATTCATCAAATGCTTTCATCCTAAGTTGTTAATTCGTTGAAGAGATACATAAATTGTACGAATCTATTTGAGAAATGAGAGATTGTTAATTAGTTGGAAGAGAACTTAGAAATTTAAAGAATAGAGGTTTGGCTGGATTTTGGTTAGTTAGTGCTTTTAAGTTTTAAAGGTATTTTTGTGGAGGTAGTAGGCTCCTCTTGTCCCCAGCGGATCATCCACTCAAATCCGCAAATGTATTTTTTAAATGTTCTGTTGGCCCAGTTGAAACCTCTGCAACCACTTAGGAGATGCCACTACATTGATTGCTGCTTTAGAACTTACATTATGAGTATATGATGCACAGACCAGCTTAGGAACAGCTCTGTAGTAAGGTGGTGCACAGTCTGATCCATTTTAGCACTGGGTTTCAGAAGAGGACTATATCTTGTGCACCTCAATAGGGAACATACTGTATGACACGGGGCTGTGTAATAAATTTGAGAGGCCCCATTCTAAGTGTTCTATCGAGGCCTCATATAGTCATATTATAAATAAACATATAATCATATAATAAAGTATAGGATAAAAAGTCTACACAACGCTGTAAAATCTATTTCTTTTCTTTTATAAAGCAAAAAATGAGATAACCTTAATGTAGAGGTTTTAAGAAAGAACATAATCAGATGAATAAGCACTTAGCCTGTATCAATAGTTTGCTTCCAAGACTCCGAGTAATGGAAAAACTTGAAAAGTTCCAACCTGCAATGAAAATTGAGAAAAGGCCACAAGAAGCATAAAACTCTTCGTTAAAACAAATACGGAGTACAAATTTAAGAAGCATAAAACTGACATGGTAAAAGAGCTATTTTTAGTGAAGCGTAAAGCTGTTTTAATAATTTAATTTAAAATGGAAAGCTATTTGTAATGCTTAAATTAATAAAGAAGGATTCTGCAAGATTTCCCTGATCGGCTACAATTAAAACAGAAGTTTCCTCTAGTTTGCAACTTTGCAAGTTATGGTTGGCAATTTAAATCACAGTACTCTCAACAAATAACAAATTTAAAATATATTTGGTATTTTGATATGTATAGATTCAAACTTGTTCTTCAGTTCTTATTATGAGTTGGTATGTAAAAAATTTAAAAAATTGGGCTCTAATTGACTAATTGTTTACTATGAATTTAACAAAGTTTACCCTTCCGTTATTCTTCGGCCCTTACTATGAGTTGTTCACTATATATTTTTAGTCTTTATTTTATATACATAATCAGTTAACTACATCTGATTAGTATGTAAATTAATGAAAAATCTTAAAAACTCACTGTGAATATATGATGGATTAATGGTCTTCTTTGGTTCTTCCGACCATCCGACTTTGGTTCTTCTACTTGTTCAGTGGCTTCTTCAGTCTTCACTTTGTGTGTCTGTGTGATTTAAGATGATCGGGGAATGCGGAGGGCCTTTTAAATGTTTCCCACTTTCCTGAGAAGAGAAGTAACAAAGAATGAATAGGCGAATCAGCGGGGCAAAGAGCTGAATAGTTCAGATACGATGTCTAGAATAGTTACTATTTGTGGCACACTATACAACTAATCTTTAAAAAACCAAGAAACCCGTCCTTATCCGGTTCTGTTATGACATTTAACGTTTAAACTTTGCTAGCATTAGTACTAATACTGGTCACAGTAACACGTCTCTACACATTTACCTCTATAAAACAACTTTCAAAATCAAAATATGTTGCCTGACTACTGCTGTTAAATATTTTCTTCTTCTGTGCCTCGCTTCTAACAATACTATCTTTAAATGTTTCAGCAATTGCTTTTGAAGTCCATTCCATCATGCTTTGAGCTAAAGTGCAGAGCCTACAGCTTATTGAGCCAATGCTACCAACTTCTGGGGGCTACTGCTTCCCAAAAACAGATACTCAATAAGGGGTTGGAACTTATTGCAACGTCTGAGGATGGGTATGCCTTTTTTGCTTTATGTTACTGCATGTTTTTTCTTTTCATCCTAAGAATCGCGAAGGCGGGTATGGGATACATAATTTTCTGTATGTAGCAGTATGTGTATTGATAAATAAATAATACTTAAATGGTTTAAAGAGAGTTTGAGTCCTTATTCTTATTCTGAAGAAGAGGCTGACAGTTCTCAGAGACTGGAATAAAGGGAAGATAAATTTAGGAACAGAGCTGTAGTAAGGTGGTGCCCAGTCTGATCCTTTTAATCACTGAGTTTCAGAAGAGGACTATATCTTGTACACCTCAATATGGAACACACTGTATGACACAGGGCTGTATAATAAATTTGAGAGGCCCGGTTCTAAGTGTCATATTGAGGCCTCATGTAGTCACATAAACATTTAATCATATGATAGTATAGGATAAAAAGTCTACACAGCCAGGGGCGGACCCAGGATCTAGCGTCAACGGTGTCAATTTAGCAAAACAATATTATATAATAATGTGTACATCAATAAAGCAAAAAACAGTAAATAATATTATCATTAATAAAATTAAAGTGCTAATTCAGAACTGCTCACGGTGAGTTTTTATATTTTGAAAACGTTGTACAATTTTTTCTTTGTCAACACTTTTGAATACTCCCTTCGTCTAAAAAAGATTGGTCAAATTGATTTTTCTTAGTCAATGGTGGTCAAGTTTGACCAATGATATTTTTTAACACAAAATTATTTCAAATATGAAAATTATATTTGTATATTCTTTAGAAAAATATCTTTCAAAAAAGTATAAAATTTATAAATTACACACAAATATAATACATAAAATCATTGTCTAAACTTTAGTAGCATTGACCAAGAATAGTCAAATTGGCCAATTCTTTTGGGACGAAGTATTTCTTTTTCAATAAAAGTAATTAAGGCATCATTCATCAAAGTATCCCCAAATTTTTTAAATGGTGGACTGGTTTCAATTTATTATTTATGAAAGATTACAGTGGTGTCAAATTTAAGTTTTTGAAAAATTTTATATACCTATATATGGAAAAATATAATTTCAGTGGTGTCAATTGATACCACACCTCAAAGGGTGGCTCCGCCCCTGCACACAGAGCTGTAAATCTATTTCTTTTCGTTTCTAAAGCAAAAAATGTGATAACTTTAATGTCGAGGTTTTAAGCAAGAACATAATCAGCTGAATAGGCACTTAGCCTGTGTCAATAATTTTCTTCCAAGGCTCCAAGTAATGGAAAAACTTGAAAAGTTCCAGTCTGCAATGAAAATTGAAAAAGGCTGCATGATAATTGATAAAAGAACAGTGGGCCAAATGGTTTAAGGTTATTTATAGGGGTTAGGGCATAAATCAGTGGCAGAGACATAGCGAATTTGAGAGTGTTTAAGAAGGAGGAGCCCATGGATTGGAGATTAACGAATCGGTAAGTTAGTAATTTCAAATTTAGAAATTTCCTAATCTCTGTAGTTTCCTAAATGCAGCTGAAACGCATTTCCAACTTTCCTAAATTACAGAAATGGGCCTGACACGCGTTTCTGTATTTTTGGATGAGAGTAAGTATTTACTAAAACAAATATCTAATATTTAATGAGAGTATAAACATTAAAAGGTTCTAAATTCTTGGATCATTTTTAGCAAGAATTACAACATTTAAAAACCTTGTATAAAAGTATTTAGCACTCTAAACAAAGAAGAGGAAAACGGACGGTAAAGAAGTTTCAAATGTACCGTCTGGAGGGAGTAGTTGTGATTGGAGGAAAAGCTAAATGGGCAACTATTTGACTTCTCAAAAGGCAAGGTTGGTCTAATTAATTATTTTTTTTTGGATAATGCGGTTGTCCTTGACATTTGTCCCCAATAGTCCTGTGGGCCTTTAAGTTAAAGGTTGGCTAAACCTCAAGTGGCCCTCTTCTAGCAATAGTGGAGTTGAAGTTGAGATGCACAAAGAATGTTTCGTTCCTGGGTTCCAGCCGGTTGGCCAACCCAGGTGGATCAGAGTTGGACTAGTTAATTAATTTATACTACCTTATGGGGTGACGCCGTGGCGGTGAATCGGTGATCATAATATTTTCTTGAAATTTGATAAAAGTAAGACATCATAACAGCAATTTTTCTCTGGTATCATATGACGAAGCTATAACAGCACACATTACCATACATTTGGCCTATTGGTATATCAATGCCTCTTGTGTATTATTACACAATCCCACAAAATTCTTTTATGCTCCTGTTTTACCAACACTGCCAACACACTAATGACAATTCTCAATTGACCACTACTTGAAGGTTTTCTGCAAGGTTATGGCTCTGCAACTTCAGTTCTCAGCTTGCAAATGCTTTGATAAGTGAGCAAGACTATAATGGATCAATTTTTCCTTTAGAACGTGGGCTGTGCTCTGCAGCTGAAATGTGTTACTCAGAATTACAGGTTAGCGTTAGTTAAGATGAATATTACCTTCAGCCTTGGTCTAAGAAAGAGTTCAATTTTCAATACTATAATGTGAGATATGATTAATTTTTGTGATTATATGGACCTGATATCTTATTGATTGTTTAGATTTTGTTTCTGTCAGATGTTTTTTGCGACTTCTATCTTGCATGTGCACCTCATGCAATGGAATAATGCAAGTGTGGTTCAAGAAGATGTCAAAAGATGTAATTTAATCTGGGAATCTATTGATTCTGATAAAGTAAGTTGATATCTTTGCTTTCGCTATATGATGATGATTCAGTTAAATATGTTGGAATATTTTAATCTGTTTCTCTTTTGGTATTTCAGTTTTCTGACACCAGAGAATATTAACTTGATTTTTTCTTCTTTTTTTGGCCGACACAAAAAAGAGACAGCAATGTCTCGGTTTGTTATTTTATAATGAGCTGTTGCAAGTGTTCTATCTACTTCGGATATGTGACTATAAGAATGCTGCACAACATGTTGAAAAATTGGATGATGCAATGAAGTCTGACTTACAGCGGAGGCAATATATCAAGGAACTCAACAAAGAATTAAGTGAACTCAATAGAAGTCTTTGTGCTTCTGATATAAACTACACAGACAGATCTATATTATCTCAGAAACAAGCTCAACTTGAAGAACAGCTCAATAATTTAACAAGTATGGGTTCAACCTGCAAAGAATATTTAGGACCAACACATTTTGGAAATGTGAAGCGGGAGTGGGGTGATAAGCTTGAATTGGCACCGCCTCCAATTGATGGGGAGTGGCTACCAAAAGGTGCTATTTATGCATTGGTGGATCTCACTGTAGTTGTATTTAGTCGTCCCAAGGGATATAAGGATATTCAGAAGAGGATTCAGTCCGGCCTACTAACCATCCAAGGTGTGTGTAGTCCTTAAAGGACTACAAACTGCTGTTCACACAATTATTATGATTTTTTTATCAATGCTCTATGTAATGCTCCTAAAGATAGGGAGACACTGCATTTTCCAGCTTGTTTTCACCTATACATTTGGAAAAATGGTGCCTCCCCCCAAAAAACAAGTAGTAGTTAATTTTCTCATCTTCAAACATTCTAGTCCATCCTTCCTAAAAAAGAGCCACATTTCAAAAGCATTTTGTACCAAAAATAGATTTTTATTTCATAAAACGATAAATACAGTAAAGAGAAAACTAAATGTAAAATTACAAAGGAAAAATTTATAGGAATACGTTCTTATCATATTTACCCCATATATGCATCATTCCAATATAATCTAAATAATATGTGGTGTTTTCTCAAAGTGATTCACATAGCAGCCGGTGGCATGCATAAACCAATTTTCCACGTGGCTTGTTATTAGTCTCCAGAAAGTTATCGTTTTTTGTCTTTTCTCTATTTTTCTTCTGCTTCTATCCCATGTGTCCATTTCTCCTCTTAAGTGCAGCCATGGTTGTTTATGATGGCAACGGCCAACGGGGATGATTCCTGATAACCGCATTTGGATCTTATCTTCCTGTTTTTTTTTTTTTCCTTTTCAAATGCTACCATATTTGAGGACTGCATCTCCGTCTTACCCTGGCAAATCCAATTTCTCTGATGAAATAATTGAGGTCGCTCATTGCCACTACCTTTGCTGTGTTTTCTTTACCGGGTCTGAGAAAGAGGCTTAGGCCATTAGGCGTGTTATGTGAAGGCCAAAGGGCCAGATTGGTTTCGATTTCCTCTGGTTTTGTGAAAGCACAACAGAGATATGGCTAATCTCACTTCCCTAATTTTTAAGTTCATTGCTGATTGCTCTGTTTTCTTCTTCTTTGGCTCATTTTATAATTCTTCAATTAGCTAGAAAGGAATCTGTTAATTACCTACTGCCTATGGTTAAAAGTTATCTGTAATCTTGAATGTATTAGCTGTGTTCAAGGACCCAACAGGGATGCTTTTCTCAGTGCTTCTTACTTCAGTTGGAATAAGTGTCACTGTTAAATGGATTTCTAATCAACCATATTCATAAAACATCAAAGAACTTAAAAAGCAACTCTAGATGAATATCTGGGAGAGTTTATTGGCTTGGTTTACCAAGTTACCAGTCACTTGGGTTCGTTTTTAGAACTTGAAAGGTTACCCATGAAGTGCATATTGTACTGAAACACACTTGGATTCCATGTCTTTTTAAGAGTTATACCTTGCCAGAGTTAAAAAGTTGTACCTTGATGAGTAAACATGACTCCTAGTTTCTTGTCCCCCCCCCAAAGCATGTGATGCACTGGCCGTTTAAATTTGGCTTCTCATACTTGAAATTCCTTTTGGGATTAAGGCTTGGATGTTGTTGTTGTATACTTGGAACTCATTTTTTTTTAATTCTTCGCAGAAGAACTTGAAAAACTTGGGATCAATGATGGGGTAAAAGGTGATCCGTCATCCTCTTCGTTAGATCTATTTCATTGTTTGCCAACTTTTTTTGTATGAAGTACTGAACTTCAATCAGTCATCCGGATGTGTTTTTGGGAAAACTGTAAGCACACTTTTAGCAGTACAGGATTAAGTTTACTGACATGTTTTACTAACACGCAGAAGTGGATTTGCTACCGTCTGCCATTTCAATGGGCAGTGTTTATTTAGACATTCTGATGCAGTTTTTAGAAAATAAAATTGCAGTGGATCTTACACGATCTGAGTTTTTTGAAGCACAAGAGGTTTGTTTCTGTGCTTCTAGCATTTTTGTCTCCAAACAAGTTACTTTTGATCTGATTTGTTCCACCATTTGTAAAGAATATGAGCACCTAAAATCAAATAGACAATTTCATGGGGGTTGAATAATCCATATCTGTTAGCTGTGAATGCTAACAGTCACATCTTCTACAGGCTTTGGTGCAGATGCGGAATTGGTTTATCCGCTTCCCAACAATTTTACGGGCATGTGAGAGTACTATTGAAATGCTCAGAGGGCAGTATGCACATTCCATTTGTTGCTATGAAGAAGCTAATTTTCATTTTCTTGAGGCTTCAAAGGTATGTCAAGGGTTGTTAATGTTGAAAATATTTGTGGTGTACCAGGACCACCTTTTTTTGTCTTGTTGGTTTGGTGGAAAATGTCCAGACAATAGTGGATTTTTTCAGAGTTCAACTTTTTATATAATCTCTTCCCCGTTTTATAAGTTCACAGATACACAGAATTTTTGCCAGTTCATTATTTCTCGACTGATGGAGCTCAGGGAGAATGTGAAACTATTTGTGATATGGTTCTCATTTTGTAATAATGTACTCTGCAACATATTTTAATTGAGAAAGCGTGAAGGGGAGGTAATAAACGATCCACCAATGAAAAAGTTTACTTGCATAAGCCTTAGGACCTGCTCTCTCCGCTTGAAAAAATGTGTTCTAGTCTGATTTTTTAGAATATGGTCTGATTTAAATCTTTTTGGTCCGGTCTAGCCTGTCATGATATGGTCGAATTCTAAATGTTTCTGATCATGTGTAGATGAGTCTTTGTAGTCTGATTTGGTATGAATCTTTCTCCTCTCGACCTTTGGTCAGAATGTCTGATTTGATTAAAATAACAATATGGAATAATAAAAAAGAACAAGGTGAAGAGAACAACACCTTAGATAGAATAAAACATATCAGTTTGTGAAGTAAATAAATGAAAATATCTTTTTAGCAATCAACATTCTGGATTATAATGAGTTTTGTTTTTTTAGCTTACAGAGAACAACAGTATGCAAGCTATGTGTCACATCTTTGCAGCAATCTCATTTATCTGCATTGACAACACCAAATCCTCTTCACAAGTAAACACACTTACCATTCATCTATATTTTATTTAGAATATTTACATAAATATACTTTTGTTACATAAATTAATTACACAACTGTTCTGCAAGCAGGCCCTAGAGCTCCTTGGACCAATTATGGGAACAATTGATTCTTTTGTTGGAGTACGAGAGAAAACCAGTCTCTTCTTCGCACATGGGTTTCTGTTGATGAGGCAGAAAAGTGCACAAGTAGCAAGGTATTTGCAAAAAAAAGGAGAAAAAAACATCGAAGTCCATTTTTGCCGTCATAGCTGAGTCACACTTTGCTTGCTTTAACCTTATTTGCAGAGACAAACTCGCTGCTGGTTTGCAGATAGCACATAATTCGTTGGGGAACCTTCAACTTGTTTCACAATATTTAAGTGTCTTAGGGAATTTAGCTCTTTCACTTCATGATGCAGGACAAGCTAGGGAGATCCTGAGGTCTTCATTGACCCTGGCAAAGAAGTTGTACGATCTCCCAACTCAAGTTTCTGTACTATCCAATTTGACAGGTACAATTGATTGATGCTGCACGATAATTATGAAATTTTATGTTTTTGTTAGGGAAGGGTGGTTCGGGCTCAAATGTTTAAGTTGCTTAAGTTGTGGCTTATCTTACATGCGTTGCTGAATTATGAAAAGCATCTAAAATACAAATGAAAAAGGCTAAAATGATCATCTTGAGCTATTACCCTGTGTTTTTGAGGAAGCGGTCCAGCCCAGCTGGTCGACAACTCACTTTCCCTTACGGGAGGTCTCGGGTTCGAAACTCAATGGAGTGAGTTTCAGCCTAGATTACTCCAGGCTCCCCCAGCCCCCCCTCCCCCAGACGCCCCCTGGAGTAAAAAGAAGTAGTGTTTGGAAAGAAAAGCTGGCGGATAAAGATGATAAGCGAAAAATTCAACTATCAATTGGCCACTATTTTTTTCATGGGCAATTGATTTTTACTTATCATAGTTGGCTTCTTTTCTATACCAGAATACAAATGAAAAAGGCTAAAATGACCATCTTGAGCTACTACACTGCGTTTTTAGTATTTATCATTTCAGCGCCCACAACCAATTTAGCAAATATAGTAGTGTTTGGAAAGAAAAGCTGACAGATAAAGATGATAAGTGAAAAAGTCATCTATCAAATGGCCACTATATCGTTTTCATAGGCAGTTGATTTTTACTGATCATAGTTTGCTTCTTTTCTATATCAGAACTATACCAGCAATTAGGTGAGCAAGGGAATGAAAGTGAGAATCGCGAATATGGAATGAAGAAACTAGAGGAGCTACAAAAACGAATCAGTCATGCTTGTTCTTCTAGTCACCATAAGGAACTGGTATAAAAGCACATCACCCATTACAATATAAACCATCTTGACATAGTTTTGACCTATTAATATGATATATGTACTTTTGGGGTATGTTTGGATCTTAAAAAATACTCGGGAAATGAAAAGAAAATAGTGGAGCATGTTTGGTTACCCTAAAAATTCATACCGTAAGAAAATAGAAAGATGGATGTGACTCCCTCTGTGAGACCTGTACTGCATAGAAAGTGCCCATATTGTCCTTCAAAACTAAGGAATCCATTTTTAGAGGGTGGGAGGAAAGTTTGAGAGCTTATTCAGTCATTTGGTAACCCCCCCCCCCCCCCCCCCCGTTTTTTTTTTATCTTATCAGCCTTCTCATCAGGATTTTTATTACTGAACGCTATAACTTGTTTCATTGCTCTCTGGTAATAAATTAAAGTTGTGTATGACTTTTTTTTCCCCTGAAACAATGAAATGACATGTCCACATGTTTAGATGTTTTCTTTATTTCTTGATATATTTTATTATTTTATATATTCCTTTAGATAATTTAGTAGATTCATTCATTTAAGCTACAAGTTTAGCACATTCAGAGATTCAGCCATTTAATCCATTAAGGCCTCATAAATTGGGCTACTAAGATTCCTTGGAAAATCAGTATTTTTCTAGGAAGGAACCAAACACTGTAATGAGAATCATTTTCTTACATCTGGCCTTACATTAAAATATGGGTAGGAACTTGAAATTTGAATACCTTTCTATCATTGTCATTATATATTAGAGGTTAATTAATAGATAAAAATTACCTTGATTTTTTAAAAAATCAATTTACTGAGTTCGACTCTTATTATCCCCCAAATCTTTCTTACTGCCAATTATCCTTCCTAATTTGTTTCATACTATTTTCAGTGTTCCGAATGGACTGTTAGCAGATCATTCTCAGAGCCTTTTTTTTATGTGCGTTTAATATGTGCAGATTGCAAAAGTGAGAACTGAAGTTCCTGACTGGAGCAATTATGATTTGATGAAAAGAACAACTTCCAACCCTCCTACCAGAGTTGATTTAGATATTCCCGAATCCATTGGTCTATCAACCGCCTCTCCTATGCCCTCATCATCATCAAGATTAATGGATGTTGATCTTGGGAGGATAAAAAAGAGAAACATTTAGCTTCCTTCCTACATGCAAGTTGGTAGAATTTTCATTGACCATCTCTGATGAGGAATTGAGGATGATGATGAACTATTCTCACCTCCACCAGGGCCTACTATAAAAGTAGAGAATTTGAGCAAAGATGCTTAATGTAATCCATTTGTATACTTTGTGTATAATAAAATTATAAATAGCCTTTTTTCTTTCATTTTTCGTTTCTCCTCCAAACCTTTGCCTTGTCTCTCCTCCCCCTTCCGTGCCCCTCCATTTCTTTTTCCAAGTTTCATGATCTGATATGGTTTCTTCTCCACAAACCAAAAGTCTGTTTCTCTAACAGAGTACAGGTGAGCTGTGATGCCCACCTTTTTCTTTTTCTGATTTCTTCTTGCAATTTCTCAAACCTCTTGTGCTCCATTTGACTTTCAGTTTCGTCCTTTGCTCTACTCCACCACTTCGAATTTCCCTGTTATCCCGTAAAGCTCTGTGGGTAAGCTGTCACCCTCCATAATTTAAAGCGGAGTAGTAATCATCATCTTTAAATACTGAACAAGGGTTTTATATTTTAGTTACGTTGTGCTGTTTTGCAGAATTGTTTTTCTCCATTCCTTGTACGATTTTTTCTTTTTCAATTTTCAGAGCATGATTAAAGTCATGCTAATTGTGTTTGTTAGAGCTCCTTTGGTAATACTAAATTTGGTTAAATATGTTGAAATTGATGAATTCTAGATTTCTAGTTGAAGGGCCTCAATCAGATTGGATGGATCAGCTGTATTATGAAAAAATAGACTTCGTACTTCGTATTGAATATATACAATCTCTGTCTCAAAACATTGCCGTTTTATAAACTTTGGATAATGATTTTGATTAGTCATGGACTCGGTTCGGGCTGCCCGGCCCGGGACCGGCCCGGTTCTCGGGTCCGGGTCGGGCCTAGGCCCGGTGGGGGGGGGGGGGGGTCCGGGCTCGGGCCTTGTATTTGGCGAACCGGCCGGGTCCGGGCCTAATTGATTTTTTTTTCATTTTTTGGGATACACCCGGGTTGGGCTTGATGGTTAGGAGGGGTTTGGGGGGGGGGGGGGGGGTGAGGGGGGGGGGGGGGGTCAGGAAAGCAAAAAAAAAAAAAATTAACCAAACCTGAGGCCCGGCCCAGACCCGGACCGGACCTGGTGGTTACCCGGGCCGGTCCCGGGCCTTCCTTCCCAAAAAAAGTCCGGCCGGGCCCGGAACCGGCCCGGCCTGGGTCCATGACTAATTTTGATTAGTATAAAATTATGAGAGGTATAAAATTTATACTTTTATGAAAGTACTTTTAACAAAGAATATTTTTATATTATAAATAATTTGCAATAAAAAGATATAATTGGTCAAAGTGTTAAAAACAATTTTTTTTTGGGACGGAGGTAGTATTTTAATCAAGTAAAGAAACGATTATACTCTGTACTCATGAATAATACCTAAAATGGTACGGAGTACTATGCAGTCTACACTAATTTCAGTCAATTCTATGAAAAAAATAACTCTAACTTTACTTATTTTGATTATTACACAATTCGGCATGTCAAATTAAAAAATTATTACTTGGTAAAAAGGTTGATTGATAAGATTGAGAAGTAGAAAAAGGGTTAGAACGGACTCTTAACGGTGAACTATTTAGAACAAACAAATTGTACAATGTATTTCAATGTTTCCTTCTTTAGCGTGTCTACATTAATTAATCTGTACTATTTCATGAGTAATTAATTATCATAGTAAGTTGGTAAATATCGCTTAGATCCACTAGGGCAGAGCTGCCGTTAGCTAAATTCCGATTTCAATCTTTCTTGATTGAAGATCGGTCAGTGTTTCCCTAGCGAGATCTCTCGCGTAGGGTTTTTACTTCGCCGCCCTGGTTCGGCGTTTCTTTCAATCGACGCAGCACTGCGCCAGATTGCCATGATTTGGACGTAGCTCGGGATGGATGATCGTGACAACGAGAAGATGGTGGAAGAAGCAAGAGAGACGTAGGGATGATAAGGACATGGTTAGCGTGGAGAGGCTGAACGCTCCATTCGATGGCATGGATTTGGTTCATACGGGCGGGTACGCCACTGAAAGAGGGTATCAATCGAGCGATGGTCCGACCTCCGCCTGAACCTGTTGGGATTAGAAAATTCTTCTATTCAATATCAAGAACAGAATTACAATAGGAGGAGCAAACTCTCACACTCAACTATTACAAAAAAGCAATCCTCACCAATACACTTCTACTCTAAGTGTATTTCACTCTTCACACACTTTTCTCACTTTCTAAACTGATACAAATGAACAACAATACACTCCCTATTTATAGGTGTATATGGGAGACATGAGGAAGTTGCATCCAAGCTTCCATTCCCATTGCTATGGAGTTTCCTAGCTATCTCCAAGAAATCTCTTCCCATGTTCATTTGTTGGATAGCTCCTTCCTAGAAGGTGTGAGATGCCTCTTGGCAACTTCCAAGAAAGAAGGTGGAAACTCCCTACAAATCTCCCCCTCCACCTTTTTCTTTATTTCTCTCGTTCCTACGATGCTCGCAGGCTCCCCCTCGCTAGCAACAAGTATCCATTCGGATGTGGAATACTTTCTCTGTGGAACTATGCCTCGCATAGAACGTCGAACATGAGTACCTTCAGCTTCGTCTTCAGATGAAGGCTCCCCCTGCTGAGGAATATCATCACTGTGAGTATCATCATCACCTACTGAACCATCACTCTCTTGTTCAGTAGTATCATGCATCTCCTCGTCGCTGAGTGGAATGTTTGATGATACAGGCACTTCGTCTTCTGGAGTATGTTGTTGGCGGATTATTGGAACACACCCATGAAACTCGTTTTCATGAAATACAACATCTCTGCTTCGTACAACTTTCTTCAATTCGGGATCCCACAACCGGTATCCGAATTCTTCATCACCATACCCGATGAAGATGCATGGGTTTGACTTGAGATCAAGTTTCTGTCTCAACTCCTTGGACACATGTGCAAATGCCTTGCACCCGAACACTTTCAAGTGAGAGTAAGAAACATCTCTTCTTGACCATTTCTTCTCTGGCACTTCAAAGTTTAAAGGAACAGAAGGTGACCTGTTTATCACATAACAAGCTGTCAGCACAGCTTCACCCCAGAATGGCTTAGGTAGTTTAGCCATACTCAGCATGCAACGAACTTTCTCCATAATGGCCCGATTCATTCTTTCAGCTACACCATTGTGTTGTGGAGTTCGTGGAACCGTCTTCTCATGTCTGATTCCGTATGCAGCGCAATATGCTGAGAACTCTCGGGAAGTGTACTCTCCTCCATTGTCTGAATGTAGACACTTCAGCCTCTTCCCTGTTTCTCTTTCTACCATGGCATGAAATAATTTGAAGCGATCAAACACTTGATCCTTACTCTTCAAACAATAAGCCCATACCTTTCGTGATGCATCATCAATGAATGTCACGAAATATCTGCTTCCTCCAAGTGACTCCTCTTCAATGGGTCCGCATACATCAGAGTGTACAAGACTGAGTAACTCTGAATGGTTCTTTCTTGTAGAGCTGAAGGAAACCCTGTGTTGTTTCCCGAATAGACAGTGCTCGCATGGATCTAGGGCAACACCTTTGCCCATGGAAATGACTTCCTTCTTTGCAAGAGTTGTCAATCCCTTCACGCTCAAGTGGCTTAGCCTCCGGTGCCACAAGGTTGGTGATATCTCTTCTTCAACAACATTGAGACTCGGATGAAACAACTTTGCATGAGTTTTATAAAGAGTACCACAAATATGGCCTCTTGCAACAACCAAGGAACCTTTAGATAACTTCCACGTACCTTGTTTGAATCTGTTAAGATATCCTTGTTGATCCAGAGCTGTACCGGAGATAAGATTCAATCTAAGATCCGGAACGTGTCGAACATCTTTTAACACAAGTGCGCATCCGACATTGGTTGTTATGTGCACATCACCAATGCCAACAATCTTCGAGAAACTCGTGTTTCCCATCTTCACAGCTCCAAAGTCCCCGGACTTATAAGATGTGAATAAATTCTGGTGTGGAGTGGCGTGAAATGATGCGGCTGTATCAATCACCCACTCAACATCATGAGTACCTACGTGTAAACATTCTTGTTCACCATGTGTAACAAGACACGCATCTGATGACAAACTAACCATAGTCACACCATCTTCTTGGCTAGTATTTTAACTCGTCTGTGGCTGCTCTCATAGAAACTTTCTACAATCTCTTTTTCTATGCCCATAATTACCACAATAGTTGCAATATCCTTCAAACCAAGTATTGTTTTCACAGGACATACCTCTCTCTTGTGATCTGCCGCGAACTTGAGAATTTCCTCTGTTTTGACCTTGGCCTCTACCCCGACCTCGACTTCTTCCTCCATTTCTGCCTCCCCCTCGTCTGTTGGTTTCTGACACGAAGGCATATGATTGTTCAGTCCCGGCTTCTTTTCTTCGGGCTTCTTCATTCATAAGGGCATCTGTGACCATCTGCATAGTCACCTTACCATTAGGAGCAGAATTGCTGAGAGTGACAACAAGGGTCTCCCAGCTGTCAGGTAGAGAGCTCAAGAGTAGTATCGCCTGCTCCTCATCTTTGAGAACCCATCCGGTGGTGCTCAATTGATTCACAAGATCCTGGAATTGACTGGTGTGTTCTGACACCGAAATACCTCCTCGTAACTTGTGGTTTACTAATCTCCTCATTAGTAACGTCTTATTTCTGGCGGTTTTTGCTTGATACATGCTACCAAGCTTCTCCCATAATGTGTAAGCACTTTGTTCTTGCGCAACATGGTGAAGCACACTATGATCGATCCACTGCCGAATTTGTGCGACAGTTTTTCTATTCATTTTTGTCCATTCTTCATCCGTCTTTTTATCCGGTTTCACGCCATTATTATCAAGAGGATCAGCTAAATCCCTCAAATTTAGCAAATCCTCCATCCGAGGCTTCCACATATTGTAATTTGTGGAAGTGAGCGCAATCATGGTGTCCGATGATGATTTATCCATAATAAAACGCTCAAAATATCTCGTACCTTATTTTCGGAGCTGAATTTGGACAAACGGAGCTCACCGTTGGATCCGGAATGGCCGAAAATGGTAGGAACCGGTCTGACCTCGTCCAAAACCGGTCTGAAAATGGGTGAACCGGCCTCCACAAGTACGAACCGGTTCGGTCCGGTTTAGGCAGCAGTCCAGTGAGCAGACCAGCAGGCGGATGACGTGGCAACAGCTGGCTCTGCGCTGGCGCTGACGTGGCGCCACGTGTCGCTGACGTGGCGATGACGTGGCACGGATCGGCGGCCTGGTAGGTGACGTGTCGCTGACGTGTAGGTGACGCGGCGCTGACTGGTCGTCTTCTTCCTCTGGACAGCCTGATGACGCAGTGATGACGCAGGCAGTTTTCAGGCGCCGTTTGGGCGGCGCGTACGGCCTCTTCCAGTGGCCAAAAAATTCCCCAAAAATACCAGATTTCTCGTCTCGACGAGACGAATCTAATGGTATGATCAGATCGTGATTCCGAGCAACTTGAAAAATCACGATTTTCTAACCTGTAGAAATTTATCTGAAAATGAGAAAACAGTGTATGAAAACTCAACCTCGCTCTGATGCCACTTGTTGGGATTGGAAAATTCTTCTATTCAATATCAAGAACAGAATTACAATAGGAGGAGCAAACTCTCACACTCAACTATTACAAAAAACCAATCCTCACCAATACACTTCTACTCTAAGTGTATTTCACTCTTCACACACTTTTCTCACTTTCTAAACTGATACAATTGAACAACAATACACTCCCTATTTA